AACATCAGAAAGCAATTAACTAATGTACTTGTTCAGAAATGATAAGTGAAATAAAATGCATAATGCTGTCAATGAGCCAATACTACACATTTATTTTGATCAAACGAAAGGAATACAACTAATAGAGTAAACTCTTTGCGTCAAAGACAAGTTTATAAATAACATAACATAAATTAATATACATAAGTGCTGCATGGATTTAAATACATCTAGTTTAACTTAAAAGAGCGAGCATTTGATATGCCTAGATATTGTTCATAGAGTTGGATTAGGAAACTGTTTGTGCTAGTGCTACCAAAATAGACCATTTAGTGTGTTAGTTACCTGAGCCACGGTCTGTTCGGCAATTGGAATATCCTCGTTGCGTAAATCGACACGTTTCACCACAGACGATGGATCCGCATCCAGAATTATGCTGCAAAAATAAATCATATATAAATCGCATCGTTTATTTAGTTGTTCAACTACTTACCCGCCATCGCAAATCTCATCAAATGCCAACATAATAATCTCCAGGTTATCCAGCACCAGGCGCTTCTCAACGTTCTTTTTCAGGATAAGGCTTATGGAGTCATACAAACAGTTGAGCACCGACAGCAATATCAGCTCATTTTCGTACGCGTTGCCCATCACGTAGAAGAACAAGTCCACGTTGCTTTTGTAAACACACGTCAGACCATCGAGCATGATGATTTCAGTGTTGGAGCGGTGCGTCTTGTTAAACAAATTTTTCTCAAACGCCTTCTGCTCCTTCAACGTGGACAGAATGTTTTTGTCATAGTACTTAGCCAGTATCCGGTTGCCATCATTATCCATAATGCACATGCCCTTGATAATGTCCTACACAGCAAAGGAGTGTCATACTTTAGTTCAACTCATAGTAAACATTTAAATTCACAATTACCATCATAAATCCGTCCATCTTGTTGCCAGCAAAACACAATTCTTTGCGGCCGCTACGCATTTACCAGCACTGGTTTGTTCATTCGATAAGAGACAGCTGTTTATTGTTGAGTTATCGATGAACGCTAGTTATGTTATGCTGTTATTTTTCTGTTAACTTGATTTTGTTATCGATTTGACAGCTTAACGGCTTTTGAAATGATGGCTTTGTAGCAACAATGCTTTTCCTGAAATGTTATGTGCTCAAACATAATTAACAAAAATATTATTGAGCCTATACCGTACTAAATTGTGAAATTAGAACAACACACACACAAACACTTTTGCGAGCTTGCAAACGAAATTTATCATCTCCACTGATTTATATTTTTGTTGATAGCTTGATGTAATGGATAGTTCGCCAGATAACGGCGCATATCAAGAGTTAAAAGAATTTTCCAAAGAGGCAAAGCACGCTAAAGAGGACGTTGGGTTTGTCGGAGCACGCAAACCCCCTCGACGTAAGAACGATAAAGTTGATTGCCATGTCGTCGTAGGTACCGCAGCTGTCCGTCCAAAGTCCCTTAAATCGGACGGAAAAAAGCTACGAAAGAAGCTCATGGAGTTCGAGCAAGAGAACCAAACGCTGGCCAAGACTATCACAGACAAGAACCAAGAGATTTGTGCACTCAAGCGCTCAGTGGACTCACTAAATGAAGTGCTCAATTCAGTGCCCATCGATGAGCTGCGCTGCAATTCCTCTATTGCCGGCACCAAGATATTGGAGCTAAGCAAAAAGAATCGTCAAATGCGCGCTGAATTGGAGCAGTTCAAAAATCGCATGAACAAAAAAGATCTCCAAATTGAGAAATTGGAAAGGGAACTAAAGTCTAACGAAGAGAAGTTGCAGCAGAACGGAGAGCTACTAAAGAAGGGCAATGCCACAGAAGAGCTTCAGGCAAAGATTACCAGTATGCAGCAGAAGCTTTTCGAGACACGCAACAAGAATACTGAGCTGCAGAACCAGTTGAAGCTGGCCCACAAGTGTTTGCAGCACGAGATTGGGGAGGCTGTTAATGTCAACATCTTGTCCAATAATCTGAATCAGGCCAACTGGCGTGGACGTGCTCAACAAATTCTAGCATTGCAACAGAAGCTCCAGGAGCTTAAGGCACGCCTGGATACCTATGAGAATGGTGCATGCGATCGTGCTGACTTTATGCCATTGCCACTTGGAACGGATCTGGAACTGGGCAGCACCCACAGCTTGAAGTTAACGCCACGCGGTGTGAAGGCTCTTCATTCGCCGGGCAGACACAGCTCCAGTGTTAGCCTGGGCGCCGGCGACACTGGTGGAGCCACATTTGATCGCTTTACGCCGGGCGTGCGCAAAAGTGAGATCTTGCACCGGGCCAAGGTTGAAACCATGGAGAAGGAGATAGCGGCACTGCAGGCACAGCTGGACGAGCAGCGCAGTCGCAATCTGGCCCTCAAGGTGCGCAACAAGACTCTCAACGAGGAGATGCTCAAGTACAAGATGCGCTCCAACGAACTGGAGGAGCTGTCTGATTGCAGTGGCGTCAATGCCAACACCATGAACGATAAATTGAATCGTCAGCGAAATCAATATGAAAGCCGTTTGGAGGAGATGCGGAATGATGTCATACGCATCAGCGAGGAACGCGACACTGCCAAGCGCCAGAAGGAGGAGCTGAGCGGCATGAACCTGGAATTGGAAACCCAGCTGAAGCAGAAGGATTGCAATATACAAACACTTCAGGAGATGATTAAAAAACTGGAGACAGATTTGCGTGCTGTCACTGGAGGCTTTCTCTTCTCCTGTCGCGAGTTTCGTAAGGTGAGTCAGAAACAGAAATGTATACCAAAAAATGCTAAAAATTCTTTGCAGGAAGAATTTGTGGGCATACTGGATGCTTTAGAGGTGGAGAAGAATCAAATGATGTTGCTGAATAAAACTTTGGACGAGCGCCTTGCAGCAGAACGCCTGAAGAACGACTCATCTACCGATCTGATTGCCAAGCAGAAGACACGCATCTCTCGCATGGACGCCAAAATACGTGAGCTCGAGAAAGAGCTCGATATTCAGTCGGATCGCAAGAAGCGCACTCAACGTATAACCGAATATGCTAATGCACTCGGACGCACTCCATTGACCGGGTCGATCAGTTCCTTTAGTTTTGACAATCAGTCACAATGCCCATCGGTTACCTCGTTCAACTCAGTGGGCGACGAGTCCAAGTTGGAAGATATGAAGAATCAGTAAGTGGCATGCATAACTTGAAGTATTTATACAATTTTTATTCCCGTACAGATTGGAGCTGGCCAATGAGAAGATCACCATGCTCACCGAAAAGTTGGAGTATATAACTGAGGAGAAACGCGCCGATGCCAAGTTCTTCGAGGAGACAATGCTGAACTCCAAGAATATCATTTTGGACACCATACTGGGCTCTCGCAGCGGTGTCAGCCAGGCAACAATCAACAAACCGGAAGGACAGCTCGAGTTGCCTGTCATTAACAATGCTTGAGTCCGAGCAATGTTTTCATGTCTTAGTTATGTTTCTTTAGTTCTTATATCATGTTCCATGTGGCAGAATTAAATTTCAATGATAAAAATGTAAACAAAGCTTAAATTTGATTCGAGGAAGGCAAAAGGAAGAATAAGTTGGATTGAGATCGAGGCAGGGGCTACAAAATAAAGTAAAGTTAGAGCAACAAACTGAATTTTGTTTAAGTCTATAAAGGCTTTCAATTTAATATAAATCTGTTTCATCAAAGTCCTGTATGTAAATTTCGGGCCCAACTCCAAGCCAATTAGACATATTAAAGTATTTTCATATAAACATAGTTTTTTTTTTTTTGTAATTTTGTAGTTTTATTTGTAACACTTTGAAAACGAAGCCTTTGGCGCTGCTTCACTTGATTTTTGTTAAGTTAAGTTTGTTTTGTTGTTGTATTAATTATATAATTGTTTAATATTTAGGCATATTTCATAGTACAATTGCAAGTGGCTTTAAGTTTATGTGTGAATATGCATATGTATTTATATTAGTTAATTATTGCATACTTGCAGCTGTGTGTACGTGTACGTGTGTGTGTGTGTGTATGTAATACCATTTATTGGCTATAAACTATGCGCGTGTATATTATATGACAACAATTACAAAGTTTCTCCATAAACACCATCACATATTTGTATATTATTCATATATTGTAATATTGTATGTCGTATCAGATATATATATATTTTATAATAAAACAAATTGTTTATCAAACGGTATTTTAGGCTTGCTTGAAATTCGTTTCGATTTGTTAGTCATATTTCCATATATAGTCTATATTTATATTTAGTGTATTATACGATAAGCCTAGTAAATGGTTTATCTAAAAAACACGTTTAGCAAATTAAAGGCACTTCAAGGATTTTATAAAACGAAACAATTTCAAATATCCTAGAATTATTAGAAACGAAAACAAATTGCAAGTGCTTATATTATTTATATAATAATGAATAAAGAGTTTGAAGAAACACTTTAGCAGGTGAGCAAATCAATCGAAATTAATTGCCTACCTGCGTTTGAGCTTATGCAACACGCATAATTTTATATTCATTTTTCTTCAGTTACGATTTCTAGTTAAATTGACAAAATTGTAGGGATACGCATCCAATTCTTCCATCTAGATGCCGCAAAGCTTTTTGAAAAAGCACAAGTTTAGCTTAGGCTGCTCGAACATTATACTAACTATGCTGCATTGATTATTTCATTCACTGTGATTGTGTATCAAGTATTTAGTTGTTCAATATCTCTTAGAAGCTATATATATAGATATATATATATATATTCTGTGACAATTTGAATTTGTTAAAATGTTTGGCTAGGCATATGTAGAATCCAATTAATTATTGGTTAGCTGGCATTTTAGATAGTTGATTAATTATTCAGTTATTGTATATAATTCAATAAATATTTTCCTAAATTTTACGGCCTTTTCTTTTGTAGATAAATGCAAAATTTTGGCTGGGTTAGCTTGGTCGCTTAAATTGGAAAATGTTTTTGCCCCGTTTCAGCATGTAAAATTACAAAAATTTTCGTTCATTGTTTTGTTGCTCTCAAATTGTTGTTGTTATTGTGGCTTGTTCATTTTTGTTTTTTATTGTATATGGATATTATTCTTATAAATGGCTTATAGTTTTTTGTTTTTCATGGTTCAATTTCACATTCAATTTTATGCTATAAATTTTACAATTGTTTTCCTTCAGTTTTTTCTGTGTTATGTTCGTTCTCATTTCCCTTTGTTTTACATGTTGGCCTGTCGACTATATATACTCTCTCTATATATATATTTATGAAATTATGTATTTTTATATAGGTGTGTGTGTATGTGTGGGATTAGGCGTGAGTGAGACTGTGTGTGTGTGTATGTGTGGGTATATCTCAGCGCCGCCTGAATACGTGGTTGAAATAGTAGTAAATATCCTGTTCCGCCTGCTGCTGTTGGGGAGTCTTTCGTGTTGGCTGCTGTTGATGCTGCTTCGGATCCACTTGTGGATGATAATTGTTGTAGTGATGATAGCCATGCATATCGTATGGATTGTGGTGTCCCGGATGCATGCCCGGATGTATGCCCGCACCACCACCACCGCCGCCGCCGCCGCCACCCATCATCGGATTGCCGCCTGCCCGCATTAGATTCGTGTGCATATTACGATCAGCCAGAAAGACATTGATGAAGAAGATCAGCACGAGCAATATATACAGCAGGCAGACCAGTATGACCACAAACTGCTGGCGGCAGCAGCAGTAGTAGCACATTCCCTATTATATAACCGCCTGCTCCACATAGTTGGCGGGCAGCATGCCGGTCTTGCCGGTGCGCTCCACACGTCCGGTCATCCAGCCGGAGTCAATTGATTCCACCTCGAATATAACATCGCCCTCGCGAAAACTAACCTCGTCCACATCCTGTGCCTCATAGTCGTAAATGGCTCGATAGACGCGCTGACAAATGAAATGAAGAAGTCTTCGATTAGCTCCAATCTCAAATAATTGAAATGCATTACTTACCAAGTTGCCCTGACGCGACTGTTTATCCTGCAGCTGTTGGCGCGCCTGCTGTTGCTGCTGCTCCTGCTGCTGCATCATTTGCACCTGCTGATAATATTGCTGCTGTTTCTGGGCCTGCGCCTGCTCGCTGGTCAGTGAGCCGTAAATGCCATTGGCGGGATCTATGTCCGAGATGGAGCCAATGCGTTTGGGATAAACGCTATTACCTGTTGGGATCAACGAATTTGTTAGACTGGGAATTAGAACATCTATCGATTTACATTGGGGGACAAGGACAAGGACAAGATGACGTTGATGCACATCGAGCTAAGCTAAGCTGAGCGCTACCGAACTACCAGCTAGCCTGCCACTGACCCCATCGACAGCAGTCTGATCTACTTACCCACGGCTGCGGCGCCGCGCTGATCGGAGCTATACACCAGAGTGGTGCTAGAGCGTCCGGTGGCTGGCATCGGCCGTGGTCCGTCCGTCAGGGGATCATAGTCGGCAATTTTGCCAATGTTGTTGCTGCTCTGCTGTGCGTTCAAATGGCCATTGCTCGCCTGCAGCTTGGCGCCCAAAGCGTTCTCGGATGGCGTTACCGCACTATAGTTGGATGCCACATACAGCTGCTGCACATTGGTGTTGCTTTGATGTTGCTGCTGCAACTGTTGCTGCATCTGCAACTGATGCTTGGAGTTGTTACTGTGCACGCTCGACTGGGAGCGCACCTGCTGCGGCTGCTGCTGCTGCTGTGTGTAGCTCAAAGTGGCCGGATGCGGATGTGCCACGCCGCCATTGTTGTTGTTGTTGTTGTTGCTGTGAATGCTGCCGTTGCTGGCATTGTTGTTCAGCAGACTGCTGTGCGAATGTTGCTGCTGGATAGCTGGCTGTTGCAGTTGCTGCTGTGAGTGCTGCTGCTGCAATTGCTGTTGCAACTGTTGCTGATGCAGCGCCGTTGCCGAGTTCTGGCTGTGATCGAACTGGTCCGCCGCATTTCCACTGGGATGATGTGAGTTGTGCAAAATGGCCGAGCGCAGCTGATTGTAGCTATTGACCGCCTGCGGCTGTTGTTGCTGCTGCTGCTGCTGCGACTGCTGTGACTGCGATATTGCTGTGGGATACAGATGTGAGGATTGTTTAATGGCATGTTGCTGCTGTTGCTGTTGTTGCTGCTGCTGCTGCTGCTGCAGCAACTGTTGCTGGCGCAGCGCCTGTGGCTGTTGATAGTGTGCGTATGGATCGTGCTGCGGCTGTTGCTGCTGCTGCTGCTGCCTGTGATTTTGTTGCTGCAGCAACTGTTGCTGCTGCTGTGGCAGCTGCTGGTGTTGGTGTTGATATGTGGGCGTTATGGCCGCCGTATTGTATTGCTGGTGTTGTATTGGTGGTGGTGGCAGCGTTTGTTGTTGTTGTACATAGTGTTGGTGTTGTTGTTGCTGGTATTGTTGGTGCTGCTGCTGCTGCTGCTGTTGGTGGTGTTGCTGCTGCTGCTGCTGCTGTTGATGCAGTGTTGCTGGCGGTATGGGCGAGGCTGTGGGTGCATATTGCGAGAATTGTTCAGCTGCCAATTGCTCAGAGAAATATTCCGATTCGTCTGCACCAATTAAGTTTTTAGTTCATTCCCCCAGAGTTAGATTTTTTATGCATGTGTGTGTGTGTGTGTTGGTGTTTGTTTTAAGAGTGTTGTGTAACGTTAGGTTAACGGTAGTTCAGAAAGCACACACAATTTATGAGCGCGTTCAATGTTGTTGTTGTTGTTGTTGTTGGAGTTGATGAATGAGCAACAAATGATAAGCGAAAACGATAAAAACAAATAAAGAAAAAAATAACAAAAGGAATTATAATCAATAAATTAATTACAATGTGTGAGAGAGACAGATATAGCTGTCACTTATGCTGCTGCACCGTGGTGCAGAGTTAATTTTGGTTAGTAAATGAAATGAAATGAATCAAAATGTTATATGTACACAAACAGCAGTGAGAACAGTGTTGGCAAACAGCGTTGGTAATTGTGTGTGCATGTGAGTGTATTTGTGAACTGAGCTCTAACCACATTCCATAGCAAACATAGCAGACTTTACACCACTGTGCGCGCATAATGCGCTCTAATGAGCATTATAAATGATAATTTAATCTGTTTAGTCACATTTAATGCATATGAATTGACGACAATTGCTGGTAATCGCGCAAACAAATTCAAAAGCCAAATTAACTTCACTCTAAACGCATTTTAGCCAACAATTGCCAGCACTTACAGGTGAGATAGTGATATATTGAGACAGACAGAGAGAGAGATAGAGATAGCAGGAAATGGGCAAACAGACAGAGAGATAGGAAAATTGGTTACTCACTGCTGCTGTCAGAGACCTCGGCGGAGCCGCGCTGCTTCTCCATAGCTGCCTTCTTCTCCAGATCGCCGTGATATGCCACATTCGATATGTGCTTCGTGTTTTGTTTGATGCGCAGCGTTTCCGGGTCGTCTGCCACCTGTCGAGCGTTTAAGAAGTTCAATGTTAATTATCATGATGGAAATGCACACACACACATATATGTATATATATATATACATATATATATAGTCGACTCGCATAACTGACCTGTGTAAATTTGCCTTTGGCCTTCTCGAAGTCTGCATGGTATTTAACGTTCGATTGGATTTTCGTATTTTCCGCGATGCGCTTCAGCTCGGGCGTATCCGCAATCGCCGTTGCCTTGGCCTTGGGTATGTGCCTGCAAATAGTCAAAGAGAGAGACAGAGAGAGATTAATTCTCACAACTTGTATAACAGAAAATCTAGCGAAAATGTCGGCATAAAGTTCAACTTGCCGCCGGTCAATTTCGATTTGGACAGTTGGCTACAAAATTTTCTACTGCTGCATTGCGGAAACAGCAACAAACATCTGCTGATGTTGCTGCTGCTGCTGTTGGTGTTATTGTTGTTGTTGTTGCTCCGCCCACCCTGGCTGCCGCTGGGCATCAGGCGCATATCATTTAGCCCCACTTGAACGTATGGTTTTTCGTTCGCTCGTCTTTAGTTTCGTGTGAAGCACCCACCTCTGACCCCTAGCTCCCAACCTCTCCCTAGCCCCTTTACCCACCCACCTCCTCCACGGCCTGTTGTTTTATCAATTAAAACCGCATTTTGTGGCATTTCGTTTCGTTTCATTTCGGTCTTTTTTTTTATTATGACTGACTGCCCACCCCAGCACTTGGGGCAGCTAACGGTTAATGCACGTTGCTGCTAGTGAATTATTAAAGCGCAGCTAAATGCAATTTGCGACCACAGCCGAAGAAAAGTTTTGTGGCTCAGACTTAATTTCTACAGCAATTACTTCTCGCTTCGAGTGCTTTTGGGCATATTGGGGAAGGTGCTAAGGCATTAGCATAAGATTGGAAAATCTTTGTGGGTTTGTGGCTTGATTATCTGAGAAACTCGCAGCTAATTTATATGTGGATTAACTTGAATTCTTGAGAATTGCTTAGAGAGGCGCTATTTATTAAGCAATTTAAAGATGGACTTCAAGTTAGGGGAATCAAAATAAGAATGAGAATGATAATGAAGAGAGAGAGAGAGAGAGAGAGAGAGAGAAAGAAAGGGAGAAAGACAGATAGAGAAGAGGAAGTAAAGAAAACAAGAAACAGATTTGTAAACGTAACAGCGACATAAAGGTAAATGAGAAGATAAGGATAAATTATATAGGAAGAAACAGAAAGACATAATTATTTATAAGTAATCAGAACAAATGAAAGATAGAGAAATGTACATATTATATTTATAAGCCTATATATTGAACAACAATACCAGGAATATGCAATCTATCGAATATGATTAATGCTACCCCATGGACTGATACATCAATTAAATTATGGCGAAAAAATATGGAAAGAAGAGAAAACCAAAGCCAAACAAACAAACAACTTGGTACACAAGCGCAATATGTAACCATAAAGTACACACACACACACATGGACAACAATATATAGGGTATGTGCATGTGTGTGTGTGTGTGTTTGTTTATGCTGTGGAGTCTTTTAACCTATCAGTTGGCTAATCGATCGATTGATTGCAGCGACTGATAACCACAGCAACAGCAACAGCAACAGCAAGCCAAAGGTTGATAAACCCATTCCCTAACCCTTCCCCTTGCTTCAATTTGCCCACCCCCTTGGCCACTTCCCTCGCCCCATGCCCCATTCATACTGTAATTGTAATTGCGCGCAACTAAATTGGCTTATAGAATATTTATGGATTTATCGTGCGTATATCGAGCACAGCTGTCGCCAGTTGTTGTAGACGACATTGGAATGCAAAGGGGGGATTGGGAGGGGCGCAACGATTTAAAGAGCGGCTTTGCCTTACAATTATTTAGTTTATTAATTGTATCTGTATCTGTGCAAATTCCATAGTAGCTGCTAATTCCATATGGTAGTGGTGCTGCCGCTAGTTATGCAACCCTCAATTCCAATTTGTGGGTGGTGCAGTGGTGCAGTGGCGCAAGGCCGTTTAATGACCAATGACCGGTCGCTCATGCATGTAGGTCTGCGGCGCAAGTTGTTGGCTGTTGGTGTTGCTGTTGTTGCAGGCTTTGCTTTAATGCTGTAACAAAAGCTTATGTTGTTGTTGTTGCTGGCACACATTGTATTGTTGTTGTTCTTGTTGTTGCTGTTAGCTGGCTGATGATGACATAACAATGCTTAAGCGCCAGCGGCTGCATTGGCCAGAGCAACGTAACAGCGGATGTCTCGGCACGTTCCCAATAGATCAACAGCAGCAGCAGCAGCAGCAGCAGCAACACGCACGCCAGCAACAACAACAGCAATCAGCGCAGCTGCTGTGCGTGACATGCCACTATTGTTGTTGTTGTTGCTGCTTTACTTTTTACTATCAAAGAATTTTAATTTATCTGTAAACAATATATACACGAACAAAACATACACTCACACAGCAGCAACAACAACTGCAGCAGCAGCAGCAGCAACTGCTGCAGCGCGCGCTTCATATAGTGTAAACATTTTTGTTGTCATCGCGTTTTAATATCCTGTAAACAGCATTTTGTATATGTAGACATAATATATTTATAGACCAAGTGACATTTTAGATGTATGTATAAAGTCAGTAAAGTCATTCCATTGCATCAGCAAATATATCAAATAACTAAATATAATAAATAAATCAGTAAAGCCTAAACATGCTAAAGGCTATTCAATTGCTGTCCGCTGCTATTAACAGGTTTATGCTAGTTTTAGCACTGTTATTAGCATAGCCATGTTAAGGCAATCGAATCAGGCAATTTGTAAGTGTTTTGAATTGAGGAAAATGTGAACATTATGTTAGCTAGATATCTGTTAACAAATCCCATACTGTTTTATTTTATTTTATTCAGGGTAACCCATTTTCAATGGGAAATCATTAAGTTAGATTTAAATTTGTAGTGTAACTTGTTAAAATTTTTTAATAAATATCCCTTTCAGAATAAAATTCTCGACTTCATATTATTCCTTTACCCTACAATATTTCGAGCTGAACTTATCTACAGTACCCATTAGATTTAATGCTTTGATTGCAGCGCATCTGTTAGTCGCTCAAGCTGTCATATGTCAGACGTTGCATGTCATTTTGTGTACTGTTCATAAGTTAAACGTAAATTGCAGTTGATGTGGGCGCCTCGATAGCAGCAGGCAGCAGGGAGCATGGAGCGAAATATAGTCCACGACAAACTGACCAACAAATGGGATGTGCAAAGGAAAGGAGGAGCTGGACATTCATTGGATGTCCACATTTTTTTGCATGTGATTTGTGGATTGTTGTGGAATTTCTGCTGTGACAAGCCTTTTGTTGGTCAACATTTTGATCAATGGGCCGGGCAAACAGGACACCAGGCGAAGCCTCAACAAAGAACACGAGGAAATTAAGCAGGAAGCGGCTAGGAAAAGAGCAAAGAGTAAGGGAATCATCGGGAATTACACAAACTGTGCATTATGCGCTGATTTGTTTAATTAACTGTTAATTAAAATTGACGTTGCCGAGAGGAGAGATCCGATTCCAATCATTAGACGATGCTCGAAATTCGTATATCCATATATATGCATCAATTTCGAATCGCTTTAAATGCAAATGGAGCATGAGAAACTTTTGGGATATGCAAATTTCCGGAGAAGCTCATTTAACAATGGGGGAAACTGCGATAATTGCCAGGTCAGAGCGTAAAAATGAATTGAAATGCGATTAAACGCACAGTTTGGCACATAATCAGCCGAGGCACGATAATCGAGTGCGAGAGTGTATAACAGGCGGGAGCGAGAGGGGGCAACAAGTCAATTATGGAGCTGCAAAGATTCAAAAGAGCCAAACTGAATTTGTGGGGTAGCTGCGTATGTGGGGCTTGAAATGCATTATCGGATTTTGGGTGGGCAACGGGTTGCGTATGTCAAGAAAAATGCCATATGAGAAGAGTGAGTGAGAGAGAGAGAGAGAGAGAGCGACTGAGGGAATTTGGAATATGGTAAACTCTAGGTCGAGATTTAAATATCATATGAGAAGAAACAAAGACAGCTACAAAAGCAAGATAGAGGGGGATAGGGGTAGGGTATTTGTGCTGTAGGTAACACACCCAGCTCTCATTTGTGTTGTGTGTATTCTCCTCTATTGTTCATGTGTTGTTTAGCATAAAAAGAGGCAAAGCCAACAGGCCAACAGCTTAACAGTTTTTTTTTTTGGGTAATTGAAAAGGTTTTGGCTTTCCATTGTAGGCGGCTTAAGTAATCAAAAAAAAAAAAAAGCAGCTAATGGGGCACAGTTATGTATATACATATATATAAAATAGCTAGAAATTCACATTTGGCTTACAAATGAAAGTGAACGAAAATAAAGCGAAAAGAATTGACACACAAAATGAGAAGAACTTTCGAATACACAAACAAAATTAAATGAAATAAAAAGCCTGAGTTGAGCTATGTGGAGCACACATTGTAGAAATTGGAATTGAAATTTTTGGTAGCCGAGGGCATGGCCATGGTTCACTGATTTTTTATGTTAATAAATAAATGTGCAAATGTGAATATAATACGGAATGCGAAAGATGCGCTCGTTGTGTATTGCAGATGCTTTCAGTCGGTTCTCTCTCAATTTGTGTTCACATAAAAAATGAATGTGAAAAGCCACAGAAATTCAGAATTTGTAAAGGAATAATACGAATATATATTTGTAGGCTTGTAGGCATATATTTGTGTATATATAATAAATGTAAAAGGGGCCAACACAAACCTAGTAAACACAACTCGTTTTCTAGTTCAATTCCAACTAAATGGAAGAACCTGGTAATGTAATGGATACATGACTTCAATAAGCTTCGTTGCTTCGGTATGTGTATGTGTCTGTGTGTGTGTGTTGGGTTGTGTGTCCTTTGGTTGTGACTGTGGCTCATGTGCAGGTTTGCTTTTCTATAAGACACAATTGGGTTACATCCATAATAGAGAGAGAAAGTTAAGGCAGCAGCAGAGGAGCTGCAGCAGCAAATGTGAAGAAATTTCTATGCCTAGAAATGCGAACAATGTGAACTTTTTGGACTTTGGACATTTCAGAAACTATTGTAAGGACTTCCAATTAGCTTTTCGAACTACTTTCAACTGCCTTAAGAAAAACAATTCAATGTGTTCACAAACCCAACTGAATTTACCCGCTGTTGCTCATGAATTATTATATTTAACTTCAAATAATTGATGGTACACTGAAATCTCTTTTAGGCTTTTATTATTTATTAATAATTATATTTTTTAATATTTATTAATTATTTTTTATTTAACTTTACTATAATTATTATTTCAATTTATATTTATAAATAAGTTTCTATGATTTTTTGCAGTGTTTAAATTCTAGCCCTCGAACTTCGTTTATCCAATTAAAATCCCAATTCCATGTGGCGCTCCACATGTGGCAAGTATAATTGCATGTCTCCGGCGCTTTAAATCTCTTTAGTAGTTTCGTAGTTCATAATTTATTACAATCGTTATTCCATTGAGGGCAGGAAAACTTTGGCTTTTCTGCTGACCCTAAAGTGGCTGTGAAACTTTGCAAAGTCAGAGAAAGAAAACTGCTGGAAAAACTTCTCAAGCAATTATAAAATCCCAAACAGGAGAGAATCAGAAAGCCACCAGCCGTGGCAGCCACAGAAATTGTAGATTCCGCCGGAACGTGGCAGCACGTAAGGTGCAAATGGCTCAAAGGCGTTCACTGCAGTGAAAGTGCTGAAACGGAAGACAAGCCACGCCCCATTGGGGCCAACATGACATCATCCAGGATTGGAGTCAGCAATGAGCCGTATTGGGTGCCGGGTGGGTACTGCGTGCTGGCCACTGCGTCAGAGCAAGAGCTAACGGACGCATAACTCAATCCGCATGGAATTTTTATTCCCGCAGCGGTGGCATCCACAATAAATCTGCATTAGGGAACGTGGCCCGTGGCCCATTGCTGTTGCAGTTTGCAGCCCGCTTGGCTCAAGGCCAATAAACGGGAACGGACGCCACGCACTGCAGTGGCAAACTCTGGATAACCACTAGGCACAATGGTCACAATATATGACAACAACAACAACAACGACAGCAGCGAGAGCATAGAGACAAACAACACAACACGTTGGCTAGAACAATAACATTGGGGCGTGGCAGTGGCAGTGGCACAGTGCCTGCCCCTTGTGCAACACACTCGCAGAGTGAATACAACGATAACAAGTAGGAGCGGTCTAGCTGGGTGTGTCCGACTACGATATACCCGTTCAATTTGAGATTGCAAATGTGAAGTGGGCGAACTTTTTCTACTATACTCTTCCAAGTGATTTCAAGCGAAAGTAGACATAATTTGGGTTTTGGGAAGTAGGTTCCTCAATTCGAAAATTTTAGAAGGTATCCAAATCAAATAAATATATAAAATAAAATAAAATAAGTATTAAGAACTTAAATAGATTCTAGACTCTCACATATATCACATATAATATATAGATATGCTCTAAAGGGGAAGCTAGATCATTTCTTCTTTAACTGACGTCAAATAATATGAATTGTGAATAATTCCATTTCTTTTCTGTATGCTATAAATCATATCTCCCTTTGCCTGCTATATAACTTTCTACAGTTTAATCTCTTGCTCTGATATACCCATTTGCAATGCGTACAGGGTATACAAATCGCGTTCCTAACGGGGTTAAAGTTGCTGCAATGCTGCAGGGGCAATTGCAACAGTGCGAATGTGTTTGTGTTTATATAGGTGTGTGTGTGTGTGTGTGATTCTTTCACTAAAGTGTCGCCGCATTTCCGCACCTTTTTAACAGCTGCAATTCAGCAATTCGTGCGGCAACAGCACGTGACAAGTGCCAGCCGCCGACGCAGACGCCGACGTCGCCGTCGCTGTTACCTGGACAGCTGTTGCTCGAGATTTTCTATAAAAGTGGCTGCTATTGCCGTGGTGTGCTACTTATCTCGGTTCGGACAGCTCGCAGATAAGATAAACGACGCTAATGAAGATTGTACGTCAAGGTTGGCATGCCTAAGCCGTCCCCCCCTAACGATACCCCAAATCCTCCCTCTTAAGCAGTTTCTAGTGTAGGGTATTTACATTCGGTTTTCATACTTACGCTTCACAGTATGGCATTTTGTTGTAGCCCTTGTAGGTTTTCATATTGAGCGTCATTCCGCATTCTGTGCATTTGAAACACGTTTTGTGCCATGTCTGAAACGGAATAGAGCAAAGGAAAGAACAAGAATTAGAGGAAAATTGTTAGCAAATTTGTTCGCCAGTCGTCGGATGGGGGGAAAAAAATAGAAATTGTTGTACTTATACTCTAGGCATATACAATATGTGCGTATTAAGCGGGTATATTGGTTTAGAGGTAAGGAATGAATTTCCAAGCAATTCAGAAGTAGAAATTAAAACTATATTTATAAATTGTATTACAACGTACGCTAGTTAAATAAATATATATAACATACAAATATAAATATTTGTATATAGCAACAGGTGAGCTTGTAATCAAAAACTATATTTACAAAATACTTTTCATGCCTCTGTTTATGCACTTGGCTGTCATTCTATAGTTGGCAGGGTATCCTCGTAGTCTAGCATTTCTGCTTGGCTTTCGTTTCATTGCCCGCTACTCTCAGTTATTATTGTTCTTTGTGCCTTGTTAAATTGGCGCAATGCAACTAAAAACTAAAACTAAAACCCAAGATGAGCATAAAAACTAAAACTTGAAAAGATTTTTTGGCTTTGCGAGCATTCTCTGGTTAGTCTCTAATTGGTCTTCGGTCTTTAGGTCTTTCGGTTTGCGGTAGCTGGTGGGCGTAGAAAGAGGGAGTGGCTGTGGCTAAGAGCAGCCAGCCAGCTAGCCAAATTGGTAGATAAGCACTTATAAGTGGTTGAGACAAAACTTCTTTAAAAACTTGTCCGCATTTAAAATGTTACAAAAAAAATTCATGTTGATTGTTTGTGAGTTACTCTACAATACATTGCAGTGTATTTGAGGAGTTTCCGTAGTTAATTGTTACGAGTATCAACTGAATTTATTAGAAATTTTCTTATTAGACAGTTCTATAAATAGACTACAGAGCCCACTTTATTAAGCAACTTCAGAGAAACTGGCTCCAGCCGTCATATCTCTCACTTTTATTGATAAGCTGTAGCTGCAGCAGCTTATTCTTAGCCTTCTAATTTGTGTGGACTGCACAAGAGATGCGCAGCAGACAGGCAGCTCAGCCAGCCAGAGGCAGAGAGAGAGAGAGGAGGGGCCAGAGGGGATAATTGTCATTGCCGGCAGAGAAAAGCTGAGATTGAGAGAGGTGTGTGGAGGGAACGGGGGGCACAATTGTCATTGGTGGCTGCGCTTCAAAGAGAGCCAACTCAATGCAAGCAGACGACGCGTTATGCAAATTTGTGAGAAGTTTTATTCCTGCCGCCTTGCAGTCGCGCTCAGCCTGTTAGCCAGCTTGGAGACTTGAGTTGGGGGTCAACAAACGATTAACTTGTCTGCGGATTAGCGAGCGGCATAAAGCGCGAAATATGCGAGAAAAATGCGTTAATTGGTTTCACTAACACACACACTCATACACATAGACTTGGACAGCATAGACAGCAACCATAAATAGCGTAGACGCAAACCAGACGTAAAGTGATGAAGTGATTGCGATTTCATCACCAAAGAGTCAAAGAGTTGGCAATGGGAAACCCGTTTGGCCAAAAGCACACACACACATACACACACAGACAGACAATCTCAATGGCAACCAACCCACTGGGGGCTAAAGGCAACCACATTCCACAGTTCCAGTGGAACTCCATTGCAATGGGAATCGGTATGGCCATACGTAAAGCCGTAAGCCACAAGGGTCCAAGAAAAGTTTTCATAAATCAACGGATTTAACTTGATGACTCGAAAGTTTTCAGCGGAACTCAAAAGGGTAAGACTCAAGATCTGAGTGCTGGGTATAAGCGTATGACAGAGTATATATATTCAATTTATATATTAAACTAAAATGAATTCAGATGACCCTTTTTAGCTAAGCATTGCTAATTTTGTTAATATTAATATTCTAATTGATGTGATCATGCTCATGCTTTGTTTTATTTGTTAGGTTAGGGTAGCTTCAAGTCGTGCACTGCCGATTAAAATATTCCTACTCGTGTTTAAGTTTTGTCTACTTTTTGTATGCTGCGTGTGGCGCATATGTAACCAGTAGGAAAGTCATTGAACATGACACAGAGAGATTAAGAGAAAGAGAGTGAGAGAGAGAGAGAGAATGAAAGAGCATTTCTCATAACTCATCTGTTTCCCCTCTGACTTTTGATGAGGTTTTGATGACCGTCACAAAAATTCAATTTCACTTTCACAATAAAATGCAGTTGTGGCTGTTGAGGTGTGTGTGTTCGTGTGAGTGTGTGAGGTAATCGTTTTGTGTAGCAGACTGCATTTATTTTCTATGCTCGCTTTAACCCACTTTTCATTTGCCGCTCGCTTCTCGTCTTGGTTTTCAATTTGAGGCTCAATTTCCAAAAATAAAAAACCTTAAGTGTTTCATGCTGTTTCCCTTGTTGTTGTTGTTGTTGAGGTGTTGAATTTGCATTCGAATTTGCACGCTTTCAACATTTTAAACGTCTCTACAGCGCGACAATAAAAAACTAACAATTGGCATGAGCCACAGTCCAGACAGCGAAAGAGTGAGGAATAGGGTGAGGGAGAGAGAGACCCATAAAGTAAACCAACTGAACGGGAATTGGGGCTTTGGTTTTGGGTGCTTTGGACTTCAGCTTCGAGCTGGGCGCTTGGGGTTTGGCATGGTTAGCTGCGAACACGAACGGATTGGATTACCAGAGTCAAAGCGACCAAACCAAATGACAAATGACTGCAACACCACAAACAACAACAACAACAACAACAACAGCAACAAATGGAAGAAAAACAATGGCGACTGAGCACGAAGCAACAACTAAAATCTATTTATAGGGCAACATAAAGTGTCAAATGATGCGACTTGCTCAAAGCGGGGATAAAAATGTATCTTAAGTGAAATTAGCTCTAAAATCCAAGAAATAAAAGTGAACTATATAACTAAAATATCTGATCTGCTCAATCTCTGCTTACACATGTCTAATATATCCCTTTCATTGCTTTACTTCAATATCAACGCCCATTCTTGACTTCTTTTCTTTTGAAAACAACTCTAGACAGGCCGCCAAAACACTTTCTAATATAGCACAATTCACACGTACGAAATCGAAATGCAGGCAGTTGGCATATGGCATATGGCATATGGCATCTGAGTTGCCTATCAACTGTCTGGATGGAGTGAATGCTACATGAAGATTCCAAAAAGGAAACATATATCAAATGCTGAAGTGAAAACACAACTTTTATTAACTAGAGATGCAGCCAGAGGAGGAAGAGGAGGAGGAGGAGGAGGAGGAGGAGGAGTAGGCAGAGCTGCGTTCAAGTTGGAAGTGGAGCATACTTGTGCTACCCACGTGTTTTCGTCTGTGCTGTAAGCGAAACCCACTTACAGCTGTCAGTTTGCTCAACCTGCTGCTCATGCTGTTCATAATGATGATACTTATGATGATGATGCTGCTGCAGTGCAGTGGCTGATAATCAGGGTAGGCGTGATGATACGGGAGCAGACAGCTAGCCAGCTAGCTAGCTGATGAAGCGGAAGTGAAAGCAACAGAGGCAGAATTAAACGACTTCCACAGCTTCCGCTGCTATTGACTCAGTCTAACACACGCACACATACCCACACACATACATGCACAGACACACACACACACATGTATTTGCACTGCAACCGAAAACTCACAAGTTCTCAACACAGAAATTCCAAGTTTTTTGGCAACTGCCTTAACGTGCGGGTTTTGCCTTCCTAAGCGCACCAAATTAAGTTCAAGTTTGCTGCGTCGCGTTTCGGTCAATTTAACACGACTCCTCCAACTGCCACCCACCAGCCCCGCCAGCCACGCCCCCATGCCCATAGCTCACTGTCTGCACCCACCTCTCCAAAAAGCGCTCAGGTTTAGGCATATATTGTGCACGCTCTGTTTCATTTACAACTGTTTGCAGTTCCAGTTGTTGATGTTATTGTTGTTGTGGTTGTCGTTGTTGTAGCAGATGCTTGTCTACAGTAGCTCTTAAAAATCTTGTCATCAGCTATGCTGCGAAGCATATAAAGCTATTAGCTCTGCCCTTAAGATGTTGAATACTTCAATGCCATTAAGATATATCATAATGTATTATAGATATGATAATATAAGATAATATGTATGATATTAAAAGACTGCCTATATGTTTCATATATAGTATGTGCTCTCAACGGTAAATACTTTCTAAAAACTATTCAATTTTCTTTAATATGCTAACAAGATGATATCACGTATAGAAAACGTTATATATGTGTGGCCACGCGAGGCTATACTTTTATCTTTACTCTTTACTTTATCTCTTTATTATTATTTTAGGTTTAATACATTTATATAAAAATTTATATAAATGAGTCATTTGCTCTGTCTGTCCTTCTTGAAGTTCAGATAGAGCTCTACAAATATTTATATTCATTTCATGTACATCTTATATTACATTCTATATTCATTTCTGTCCGAGTCGAATTCCTGTGACTAATTCGCATACATGCTAATTCAGCTACCATTAAAAGTAAAGCCAATCTATTTTTCTTGCAGCGTATTCAAAATTCGTTGACATTTTAATTGCCGCAATTGGAATTTGCATTTCGGGTAGTGGTACGCCGTCGTCACATTCATTGGGGTCAAGGCGTTTCGCAGCCGTCGCTGTTATGACCAAATGGAATATGCCATATATGGCTATAAGAATCATCTGAGTCATTGTCATAAGATACCTGAACACGACGCCGACAAAAACAACAACAAACAGCCAACAACAAACACCTTTTTCAAGCTGTATTACGCGATTACAAACTGAATGCCGTTACACGCAATTGTCGCCTTTCCGAGCGGCCTTATATGGCTGGGCTGGATCACTGAGTCGTTACGGCTCAGCTATATATGTACATATATATATATCTACATTTATATGTGAAAAAGAGAGCCATATAGAGATATTGCCTGCCTGCTCGCACTCATTGCCATTCATGACATAATTGTCATTATCGGGCCGCAAATAGTTTTTAATTGTTGCCCCATTGACGTGACTGGACTGTTGATCAGTTGATCAA